ACTCAAGTGAGAATATGTGCTAGCAAGGCCATGCCAAGTGCAAATCACAGATTCAYAGAATATTTAAGAATATTCACAGAATATTAGAGATCATCTAGTCCAACCTTCCTGCTCAAGCAGGCACACCTASAGCATGTGGCACAGGGTGGCATCCAGGCGGGTTTTGAAGACCTCCAGAGTAGGAGACTCCACAACCTCCCTGGGCAGCCTGTTCCACTGCTCTGTCACCCTAACAGTAAAGAAGTTGCTCCTCACCTGGAGAYGGAACTTCTTRTGYTTCAGCTTGTGGCCATTACCCCTCGTCCTRTCGCTGGCCASCAGTGARAACAGCCTGTCCCCTTCCTCCCTGCATTCTCCCTTCCTGAACTTATACATATTAATCAYATCCCCTCTGAGCCGTCTCTTCTCCAAAGTGTCAAATCAAAGCCATATGCTCCTTCTGGTGCTCTGGTTCTCTCTTAATTTGAGAACCTACCCTCTTCCTTATATGTTTTGCCTGAGCCTGCTTAGTTGGGCCATGCTGGTATTCACTTTGGGACTCTTTCCATTCTCTTGCACACAGTGAGGTCGTGGATTATTTGAGTGGAAGCCAGTGGTCAGATGTGGTGCCATAGCCAAGTACCTAAGTAGTCACAGAAATCTGGAATAACACAAAGCAGAAGCTAGCCCCGAAAAGTGGCAATGTGGGATAGGTCTTGGTAGTGTGCATGCTAAAACTGCATTAACCCTGATGGTAATAGGAGCAACACAAAAGCATCTAAGTGTATTTTATAACTACAAAACTACTGCTTCTGGTCAAAAAGATCAGAATGCCTTGAAAGTAGTTAATTTCATAAGAAGGTTTCTCTCTAAGGCTAAAYGAGGTACAGCTACAAACCCAAATGTATCAATGTCAACTGGGTCAGAGGCAATGTGGTGATGGGCTGTATTTCAAGAAGAGGTGGCTCATGGTGGCACTGGTGACAGTAGACCATTAGCTCCATAACAGTGTGTTTCCAGTTCTCTGTGGTGTGAGTACCAAGGGAACTTTGCTGTTTCCCTTTCCCCATACCTTTTGCCTAAGAATCAATCACAACCTAGAGATGTGAGGAGTATTTTGGGCTTATTATAGCTTGCAGAATTGATTTTCTTATATGTCTGCCATTCTGCAAAGGAGAGTGTCTTTTGTACCTGGAAGAGATTTTGGTTGATTCTGGACAATGCAAAATGCACAGTTTTTCAACTCAACATGAGAGAGAAGATAAATTCAGCTCTGCAATATGTGGTTCTCATATTTTTTTTCSAAGGCAGGATACCATTTGTCATCTGGCTCCACCTTCTAACTTCTCAAGATAAGAAATATCTTCTAAAATGAAATAAAATGAAGATGTTAGGGAGAATATATGAAGATGGAGAAAGCCTCTCTGGAGATTTCTTGAAATATCAAGCTGTATGTGGGGCAACAGCTATTGATAACCCATGATTTTTCACTTCCACCAAAGACGTTTTGTTTAAAATTTTCAGTTTTCATGTCTGACACCAACAGCAGATTTGAGTAGAAATCAGAATCAATTATAGGGCACTGCATGTAATTATCCTGCTCATTCTGCCTTTGAAAAGTAATTAAGTGACCCTACTTAATCAAGATGAAACCACTCTTTAAGGTGCTTTAAGAAATTAGCTTTTAATTTGTGCTCAGTGCAAATTCAGGAAAGGATAGATCTAGCTTCTTGCTGGTACCGATGATGGTCTCATCTGGYGTTCTGGAAAATGGTTTTGCATTAGTGGAATATCAGTTACAGGCTGCTGCTGTGAGGAGTAAGCTGCAGTGCTGGCCTGTTAGTATAATGTGACTTAGTGCATGCAGAATATTAAATGTAGCTTCATGGAAAGCAGATAGTTTGGCATATAAGCAAGTATGGAAATAGTTCGTATGCCAGTTCACTTACATTATCAAAAAATCCCCAAAAGGTGGATATTTGTTAGGGTGAGAGCTCAACCGCTTCTGATATGCAAAAAGTTTCCATCTGTTGATTTCTGATTGTCTTAATTAGAGAAGAAATACACAGCAAATGGAAATGGGAGTTTGAAGAGGAACAACTATTTCCAAAGATCACTGCATGAGAAGGTTACTTACAAATGAAAGGGATTGTTAACTTTGTTTGACACTGAACAAATATCCTGGAGGTGAATGTTCCTTGAAGAGTTTCAAACCATCAGGAAGCACATCAGGAATCACCTCATTTTCCWGGTTTTCCTTGGCTACTACAGAGAGCTAAATGTACTTGGAGTCTACTTCATATCACACAGAAGACTAGCATTACTAGTTAGCTTAATTGAGTAATTAGATTTACAGAACAGATGCCTGCTTTTCACCTGCAGCACTTTGCAGTCTTATACTGATTGAAAAAAAAAATAGTACACTGTACAAATTGGATAATAGAATAGTGCAAAAAATGATTTGATGARCAGAATGAATTTCTGTTCATTATCCTTCTTTACTGTCCTAGAAATGTGTAATGRACACTTCTTCCTGCCATCACTGCATGTGTGTTGAAAGCAAATAGCGACAAAGGAACCTTCTTCTTGTGAAGCAGCAAAGAGCAAACGTGAAAAAGACTTAGAGAAGTGCCTCTATTAAATTACATAGTACAATAAATTCCCTGTTTGCTGTTAGGAAAGGGATTTGACGCTCATACTAAAGCTGTTAAGTACAAAAGGACCAAAGAAAATGTGTATTTTTCTGCCTAATTTTTGGAACTATTAGCTTGAGATTCAAAAAGTTTGGGGCATCAGGATATTTTTGGAAACATTAGATGAGGTTTTACATAGATTTCCACTCTGTTTCCACTTCATGCAAACTCTCATGCACTGCAAAACAGTGCTGTGATTTTACATACATATCTTGTGTGCCATCTGAGGGACCCTTTTCCATAGTTTGTTAGTCTCTGCACTGATTAGAATAATCTTCACCCAAAGCTCTTAATCCTGGCATCTTTCCTAGTAGAATTAATCTTTTGAGGATCTGGGTGATCAGTAATGACAAAAACAGTCTCGGTATTAGTATTTCACTTGATAAATTGCAGAGATCTAGGTATCGCTTACATTTGTCAACAGTGACTTTCCAGTGAAGTGCAAAGGCATTTGAAAAATTACCCCTAATGTTTCAGGCTAGCGGGGGAAGTACCTTTTCAAAGAATGAGAACATTTCCCTTATGCACCATTAAGCCAATTGAGGAGAAAGGAAAGCTGGATGGGGTGGGAGTATGCTTGCGTCTGTATCGCTAGGGTTGAAATAGCAGCATGTCAAGATTATTTAAGTTCTATTCCTGTGAGCCATGCCATGTCATGATAAAGTGCTTTTGTTATGATACTGTGAACCGCAAAACTGTGGAAGAGTCCAGGTTTATTTTCTTTAGAGCTGCACTGCCTTGGCTGCTGTTTGCTSTCTGGTCTTCTCCTGCTTCTCCTCTTCTTTCTATATAGCATGCTCTGTAGTAGATTCTCTTCATCTTCTCTCCCATCCTCCATGAAGGGTCCTCAGAACCTGCTGCTGGTCTTCATCCTCTCTCCTGCTCCATTTCACCTGCAAATACAGATTCCACATATGTGCAGGTGGAGCTTGGATATCTTTCTTGTCTCTGCACTCTCCTCTGCTGTCCAGTTCAAACCCTCAGACTGGAGCTCCAGTATTTTGCAAGGGGATAGCTGTCAAATGGGATGACACACAGATTTCGTCTAGCTCAAACCCCTCTCTGTTCCTTTCCTCTTTGATTGCTGTGAATGGTGATTTGGTCCTGCCTCACATTCCTGTCTGCAAGACAAACACACATGTCTTTGGAGCACGTTGTGCTAGGAAGGACATTTGCAGACAATGAGCTATTCCATGTATTTATCTTTTTTTTTTTTTTTTTTTTTTTTAATGGTGACATGATAAGATATGAATGCCACCCTGAAGCTCTGTTCAGCATCAGTGAAGAATGATCTGACATTTGAAAATTGTGTTAACTGTTGGATGTTCAATGGGCAGACCAAGCAAAAAGTTGTTGTTGTTTAATTGTATTATCTATATTTTCTTTGAATTCTGGATGTAAACAGGACTAGAAGGTGTTAAATTGCAAGATTTCAAATCTTGTCTGTTATTCTCCATGTTATTATCAGAGGCTCCTACATTTCACCAAAGTGGAACATTCTGTGGTAGCATTTTTTATAACATTTACCTCCATAGCACTTCTATTAAAAATCAAAAACATAAGATGAGAATAAAACAAAAACGACCACCAAATTACTGATCAAAATAAGTGGAAGATCAATTGACTCACTTATTGGACCATGTAAGTGAGCACAGTATTCCCCTGGCCTAGATGAGACCCTGTGGAGTGACACTAGGTCTTACGGTAGAGCATGGGATGGGGTGAATTTTTCCCAGGGCTCTTTTGATGTTTGTTGTGTACCTACTAGGCCTCTCCAAGTTGTCCTCAAGGAACTTGAATTTCAMCTTCTTGTCTGTCAGAAATCATACTGCTTTCTACTTCAGAATGAGCCTATCACATCCATGTCTGTAGTCTTTTGTGTCACCTGTGAAGAACAGGTGGATATTCCCCACCTTTGTAGGAAAGGGTGTTATTGTTTTGTAATCTGAGCAGGTCGAAGGTAAAAGCAGTTAATGCATGTATTTCATACCTTATTTCTAAGAATGATAAACGGAGTTCACCAGATCTGGAGATTTTTTTTCCATAGACACACTGTCGATTAACACACTTGACATATTCATTGTAGGTGATCTGACAAGAAAAAAAATTACATCACATTCTCACTCCTAATGAACTTTTTCTCTTATTTCTCCATCTCCACCCAGACATATGAAATTCCTGAAGTAAGATGAGCAGGGGACATAAAGAGAACTTGTGCTCAGAACAACCAAGGACAAACTGATCAAAAAAGGGGAAAAATTGGCTTGCCTGAGGAAGGGACAATTCTCATTTACTGAGTTACAGGGAATTCTCTGTTTCTAACTCTAGGTCCTTCTTCAGTAATCAGCAATGATGATGATTCAGCAAGTCCCCTCCATCACATCTCAAATGGCAGTAACACTCCGTCTTCTTCTGAGGGAGGTCCAGATGCAGTCATCATCGGAATGACTAAGATTCCTGTCATTGAAAATCCCCAGTACTTTGGGATTACTAACAGTCAACTCAAGCCAGACACCTGTAAGTACAAATGCTTGCATGTCTTTCAATCATTCATTCTCATTTTGCAGGTAATGGGGCTCCTTAACAAAGCTAATAGAAAAATGATGTAAATTTCTGGCAATAAAAGGATGGTATGGACTTAAAATATATGCAGTTTGTTAAGGGGCACATGGCATGTACTGCTTTACATCTGTCAAAGCCAAATTCAGCCTTTGTGGTGAATCAATGAAGTCAGCAGTGTTATGCTCAAAACCCAATCCATATTCCATCAAAGTCACTGGTAGTCTTTCCATTGATTTCAGTGGTCTTTGGCCGGTCCTGTGCACCTAATATATTCTTGGGAGAAAGCAAATCCTGGGGCAGAACCAAGAGTCAATATTTATTCAGTATTACTCACTGCTTTTAAATTGGTTATTTTGTTTATATTATAACCCAACCTTGAAATCTGAATATTTGTGAACTTATAAGAAAAATAAGGGTGAAGACTTTGATTTGTTTAATTTCACTGTATAGCTCAAGTACTACAGCTGGAAAAGATGTTGAATATTTAAAAACAACAGGAGGTTATATGATGGACAATAAATGTCATGAAAAAGTTTTCTGGCACTCAGTTAGAAGCAGGTGAAATCAATATACTTTGAAAAACATGAGAAAAGTAAGAATAATTACCTCTGAATTGTTGAAAAAAGAGCAACTCAAACTTCAGTTATTGCTCTTCATCATAGTTTTGGTAAGTGGACATTGTAATATTTAAAGCTGTAATTGACACTGCAGAAAATGATAAATATCTCAAGGATATTGTAATTAATAGTAACTGCACAATTTATTATGTATAATTGGTACATTAAGATCTTTAAGTGTTTCAGTGAAGGTTTTGCCTTTTGATTTTGTACATTTATTCCTAAAGTGTCACTGGAAGCCTCATGTGTTTTTCTTGGAAGTCGTTTGAGAGATTCCTGGTTCAGTCAGTGAGCACTGGGTGTACAACTAAGGGACACAACATGCATCTTGTGTAGTGACTGATTCAGCTTCACACTACAAACTGTGRTTGAGAGGCGTATGGCCTACATCAAAAACTTTTGCTTTCAACTTTGCATAGCTTAAGTGCTGCAACAGGTATATCTTCCTTGATCTGTGTATGAGTGCATGCAGGACTTAAAAGGGTGTAAAGACTGATGCAAGATTACCTGCCTGTCTTGTCACTGTTAACACTAATCCACAACTTGATTGTTGTACTAAATACAGTCCAGAGATGGATGTTCCTGCAATGCAGCAGGAGGCATTTTCTGTCTCTTTTTACATCCCTTATGTTCTCCCTCACCACAATTTTATTGTATAGTACTATTTGTTTGTTTGTTTGCTTGTTTTTAGAAAGAACCCGTAATCTCTTCTGCCAGAAAGTATTTGAACAATCTGGCATAGCATATACAGTGGCGTGCATAATCATTGAATTGCTGAGACGTGATCATCAAAAGAAAAATCTTATACAGATGCACCATGTTTAGAACACTAATTCCTGTGAAAAATATAAGGCAATAGAAGACATTGAGGTACCACAAATGGGCAATGTATCTATAGGAGTTCTTTAAAATTATATAAAAGGCCATGCTTTTAAATGTGAAGCTACTGTACCTCCATTCCCAGCTGTATTAGACAACATTATAATTGTTTAAATAAACATCAGTGACTACAGACTATTTCACTTTCAGCATTAATGTTGAAACAACATACATGCTGTTCAGGGTGGGGGAAAGAAAACAAACTGTACCAAAACCCAGAATTCTCTCACATTTAGTAAGCTTCATATTAATTACAGAAGCATTAAATCACGCGTCACCAGCACTAACTAGGTCCTCATCCTGAAAATACGTAAGCCTGTGTTTGGTTTTGTGTGCTGCAATGCAAGCCACATGGTGTGAGGGAAATTAATCACAGTGCATGAAGTTGGCTTGTGCACGAATGTTCGCAGAATGAGGTCTTGAGACTTTGCTGTGGTTCTCCTGGGAGGCACGAGGAAACACTCTGCTTTCTGCTCCATTGTTGCCATGGTCCCATGCTTTGTGCTATTATTGTTTTAGCTAAGACATAAACTTCAGTAGTGTATAACTTGATAAACTAAGGCAGTTTTCATCTGGTGCTCCATGCATCTGTCTAGTGAAGAGGGTAATTCAAATTGTCTAGGACAAAAATGGTCTTCTAGTGAATAATTTTGCATACTCTCTTTCACTCACTTATTATTGCAGAACTGCAGTTGTCCTTTCTTAGCCCATCAGCCTCTTCCTGATCTGTATTTCTGGTATTTTCAAAGCTTTAAGCTAAGTAGCTCTTATAATTTTTTCCAGTTTACAATAATGCCATCTCCAAATGTCATCTGATTTCTCATGTCCATCAAAATAATTAACATTTATGTTTATTAGCTATCTGGGCTCAGTTCCATTGTCCACAGGCTTTAGGCACAGCATCATGGAATGTCATGCTGAAAAAGATTCTCATATATTTAAGTGTATGCTGGTTTGTAGGTGGAGATGAGTCTTACAACTATACTCAAAATTTATGTTTTCATGGAAGCTGGAAATCTATCTCGCAACAGATACATATCCTTTTTTGAATTCTGTGTGTTGAGCTCCATTGCAAAGTGGTAGAAGTGCATGTGTTTAATAGAAAATTTAAAAATTGATTACAGTCCGTTCCATCTGAAGTTCCATTATTGTGCTTTTACTACTGCAGTCATAAATTCTGAGAAATGACAGCTTATAAAGCGTCAAAGTTTCAAGCTGCTGCTCTTGATTCCTCTTGAGAGATGCATTACCAAGTGGGAAAGCAAAACTGATAAAKACCAACCCCCACAGCAGCTTCTCAGGTTGGATTCTAGTCTTCACTTGGAAAGACTCAATTTGTAGCCCAGGTTTCAATGCAAGTGCTCCTCTGCACCTTTAATTGATATCCGAGGACAGTATCATCCTTTATGTTCTAACAAACAAGTAGCACGTAGCATAAGCCTGCAAATCTTTTGTCTGGTAGTAATTGAGAGCATTCAGTTGTTGCTGCTGAAGATCAGGATGTAGCTTTCTAGTGAAATAATGTTGGCAACCACAGGAAAATTGCAAGGGTGGTAAACATTGAATTATTCTCTCTGATATCAACAAAGGTGTCTAATACCTTGCTGGCAAAGGGGCTAACCACTGCAAAAAGGTTAGCTTCACTCATCCTATGAAATGTCACACTAAGCTATCGGGTTTTTTTATTGATAATGTGACATTTTGCAACTTGATCTTCTACATTCCTGCATTGAATTTGTAGTTGCTGAAGTTATCAACTGATCCTGCTAGATCTTTTGAGATAGGGCACAAAGAAACAAAGACATTTTCCATTTGAACAGTTACTTAGCTTGGAATCACAGTGCTTGAAATTTATCAGCCAGTCATGATTACTTTTCAGTGATTGCTAGTCAATAAACAAGGGTTTTCCTGTAGGGAATAATGTGAAAAACAAAATTTGAGGAGAGGACATGTAGGAAATGTCAGGGGAGTTGCCAAGTTGAGACTCTAAGGGCARGACTTGGGTCCACTTTCAAGTGGATGTGGAATTTGGCGAATCATTTTTTTCTCTGAATTGTACTCAAGTAGGTCCTCTGTGACAGTCACTGTTGTTGCTGGGTGCAACTGAAAGGAAGATGGTAGCTCYCCTCTTCCATGCAGAGATTTGTAAGACAACTCCCAGGTCCAGGTGCCCCAGGATGAATCRGAAGAAACTGCATCGATTTAATCCCTTAAGATATTATCAGTGAAAAAAAAATAGACTAGGAAGGCGTATTAATTAAGTGGTAGGAGGTTCATTGGCAAGGTGTTTTTGGCTTCCAGCATTGCAAATATCTTTTGGGTTTCAGTTGGTGTTGTGTGGATTGTGGCTTTCATAGAAGGAATTTGCATGTATTTATGAAATAGTGTTAATGTCTGGTCTGTACTTCTGTAGAGTGGGATGTGCTCCTAGAGGTGCAGAAGTATGAACGTACAGTTTAGATATATGTAATGGGTAATTCAGTATTGAAGAAATAGAAGATTAGACTTGACTGAAAAGTGATCATAATTATTATAAGCTTCCAGTATTCCTGTTCTACTAGCCCTGAGTGTCTCAATTCTGATTCTAATGAWGCAAATGGTAAAATACACTTTAATCATTTGAGCTAGTGGAGGAGATGTTGTCCGCATACTTGCTGTGAATAATTACCACGCTTCCACCTGGCATCTGTTAGAGAAATTCTGAAGCTGATTGTATGTTGCTACAAGTAATTCCCTGTAAATTGATTTTGAATGATTTTGCTAATCTGAAAAAAAATTAATTAACAGTTAAAGGCACCAGTTAACAGGGTAAAATTTCTAATTGCACACCTGGTGGTAATTTTTAGAAGTTTTGAGAACCACTCTCTCCTATCCCATTTTGAAAACTGACCTTTTCAATTTTCTGTACACTTGACGGATTGTCACAACATTTAGTTAAAGATGATCTTTTACTTAATTGTTCTGTGGCTATAGATTTCTTCTTAGCATATTAGGAGGCAGACTTTGGCTGTCYATGTTAGGAAAGCTGCAGAAATGCAGAATCAGTTCAGCATTGCCTTGATTGTCTTCAAAATACTGAAATTTGAGAGCAAAAGAAAAGAAGGGTTGTTCTTGTCATTTGAATATGCTTCTCACAATTTTACACTTAGCTTTTTAAAAATATAGCTCATGGAGTCTGGAATAATGATATCAGATTTCATTTTAGAAGGAGAGAGCATTGATGCTTGAGAAGACCCCAGATACCTGAGGAAAGAGAAAAAGATCTGGATTTTGTTTTTTTTCCCCTCATTTTTTATTGTGAATTTTTAAGTGTAACCTTGAACATGACTGCTGCATGATGGGGGTTTGCAGTCCCTGTGGTGAAGCAGGAGGACTGTTAGGGATCACGGAGCTCTCCCAGTGCTGAAGCCTGACATCCCAATAAGATGGCTCTGGCATCTACTCCCCAGAGAGCAGGAG